AGAAAGCAGGAGAGAACCGGACGACTCGAAGCACACGTCGCTCAATAAAGGCAGGGGAGGGCGAACTTCTGGTGGATGCGCCTGGTGCTAATGAAACTTCTTGATTGGAACCGAACTGAAACTTGCTCAATTGAATCATCACCAAGCCTATTACGAGACGTCACAAATTATAATCATCGCATTTTTCAATTCTCTAAGGATTTCAACTCATTTAATGTACATTCAGTTAAAAGATTCACAAATTTTACTAAAAGATTTTTTTTTTAATAAAATTATTAATTAATTGTATTTCTATTTTTATACTTAAGGTCTTTCCAATTAATTGACTAATTTATTTAAATCAGTATAAATTAATATTGAAAAAAAAAACAATATTTTCTTAAGAAATTTGAATTCCTTTCTTATATGTACTAAATTCCTCTAATATTTTTTAATTTATAGAAAAAAAGTTGAAAATTGATGAAATTATATAAATAATAACGTTTTTATAATTAACATCCGTTTATTTTAAATGTTATTTAAGAACTCAACAAAATAATATAATAATAAAATTAAAACCAAATTGATTTGCTACAAAGAGCTATTGATCATAGGCCTTTCAGTCATAAAAATTAACAGTTATTAATTAAATATTAATTTATACATAAAATTAATTGGATTTGTATTACTTCTTTAATTATATTACAGAAACAACCAAGATTGAGTAGCTAATAGTCTGAATATAAAGTATCAATTTGTAGACATGAATATTAGATGGATTAAGGATGATCGTATCTATAATTTAATCTGATCAATTCGTTCCGAAACTGGAAAAAAAAAATACAACAAGAAAGTATAATAGTATCCAGCTTATATAATAAAGGGGGGCGATGTCGAAATGGGTTTCTGGGTAACATCGAAACTTGAGTCATAACAACATTGTCCTTACTCGACATAGGAGAAGAACAAATAAAAATGACGGATAAGAGAATATCTTTATTCATCGCGTTATCAACTTCTCCCTTTATGCTCGACGGAATGAGAAAAACAACAATAAACTCGTGTTATAAATAACATGATGAAACCGCTCTTCGGGCAAGGGAATATCTCAACTTCAACTTCTCCCTCGATGATTATTATTGCCGAATTATTGATGATAGTCTCTCATATTTTCCCGTGAAATTGTACTGAACCGTATTATATTATTACTATGACTCAGCTAAATAAACATGGATATTATTTTGGAGAGAAAACAACATTACATAAATATCATTTCTTAGTTTAGAAAGTATCCTCAATTTTATTATATAAGATTTTCTTAATACATTAATGCCTTAATTCAGTCTGAATGTTTCTGTTATATTTAAAGAAGATTAACTATTTTAATTATATAATGAGTTAATATTGAGATCAAGAAAACTTGATGGATATAATTGGGATTATATAAAGAAGTTTTAATCCTTGTTGGGAAGATGGAGCGTTACTTGCACTGTAAACCGATTGGAAAACTTAAAGATCAAGCACTTGAGTTTGATGTAGTCTTGCAATAGGTGCAATAGCAGAACATTTCCAATTTCCTAGATAACTCCCTAATTCTGCAATCTGCACACTTAACCCAAAATTCCCTTTGCGCAGCCGGAAATAATTGGAAGCACGAAGTTTATTAGCGTCCGGAATGCAGCCGGAGAAATACGGCCGTAGCGACACCTCTTCCACAAACCGCCCCCGCTCTGAAATTATAGATTATTAGCAAAGTTGTGCAACCGTTGAAACGGGGCGGCATCTCGAATAAAATAAACTTTGAGTTGTTGGATGCATCCAACACTGCGTGTGGGAACTTTGCCATTAATATTTTAATGTGGCCGAGGATTTAGTTTCCGTATTCCCAATTGCAGTTCGTTGTATTGTGTTTCTGGTGTTAAAGCGCGGTTGATGATAATTTAATCCTCTGGGCCATTTGGAAATTTTCAATTGGGGATCATGAAGTATTAACGCTCGGGCATAATTCAAACAGGACCATAATCAAATATCGGGAAGGGTGGGAATCATCCTGCGAACTAAATACATCCTTTGCAAATACTCTGGCGCTGAATACACACGTCATTTTTGTACCTGCAATATCTGAATGTGTGTACAGGAGCAGCCAGCACCAGCTGCAGACGTGAATCATTTACTCGCTTCAGCTTTCTGAATGAGACCAAATGAACGGGATGTACTCCTCTTGTTTATTTAGAACACTGCAAACTCGCCATGAATCCGATGATCTACATTGTATATACATATATAATGGTATAAACATGAGGAAAGACTTAACTTAGTTTATAGGTGCAACCACACCACATCGACATAAATCACATCACGCGTGCGCACTTTAAGTATTTTCTAATTAACAGTTGCGCGCGCATTGATTTTATGGTTTAAAAAACCATAAAACCGTTATGCGCGCGCACTCAACTCCAATTATTTATAGACAAATATGAATACACAACGTGCTATAAGGTTGCATCCTCACTACAAGCAAAATTACTCATAAGTACGTATCAAATTTTGTTTATTGTGTTGATAGATGACAGTAAAACTAAATTGACAGCAGTAATAACAATGATAAACTTCATAGAGTTTTATGCCTTATTTTATAAATATATATTTACTCATTAAATATTCTACATTCAACAGTGCTTAAATCTATCCTTACTAATAGTTGCGACACAAAGGATGGATCTTGTCTTAATGCAATTGACATCTTTTGAATGAAACGCATGATGCAATTGAATTTTCCGTGTTGAGAGAGATTCAATCTAACATGTCAAAGTTCAATACATCGTAACTGGATTAATTTAATGGTCGGCACTATCGTCGCCGGCAAAACTAGTTACAGCATTATACTAATTGATCGTGACCGGAGTTGGAACGAACCCGAAGCAGCCAATAATTAATATCGCTTTACAGATTATTCCGCTTTACACGTGAATATTGGGTTTACAGTAAAGAAACTTATCGCATCTAATAAAATCAATTGACGTTAATATCATGTTATTATGTAACTTAATAATTATGCACAGAATTAGTGTCAGTACAAAATTTACTGTTTATAATTAAATTATGTTATTTTTTGTAAAATTTTGTTATAATTGTATTATATACAAATAGTTTAGTTTATTGATAATTTGAGGTTAAGTGTACCTTACTTAGTGTGTAGATGCCGCATTACATCAATAAAATCTTAAGTAATTTTATTTAGTAAAGTTTGTAAAAACTTGTTGAGAATGGAATGAATATAATTATTTTTAATAGATAAATACACAGATTAATTGTAGCATTATTGATTGATTTATTAAAGGATATAGAATAAAAATAAATCATGTAGGTGAAGTATCAACTTATCGGATTATGTAATATAGAAAATGATTGATGACTTAAATATTTGAAATGTAAATAGTTTAAGAACTGTTGTATAATTTTACCTTAAAACCCAACAAGTGTGTTCAACTTCGAAATAAATCAATACTGATAAATATAATTTTTAAATTCAAACAACTTTTACCAACTAAATTGAAAAAATATTTAATGTGGACACTTGAATTAATGAAACATGGCACTAAATGGGTTTCAATAATTGATCATGGAAACTATTGATATTTCCTCATGGAATTGACACTAAATTCATTAACCCACTTGGCTCCAAATCTGGGAACTGCATACGTGGCAATTCGATACATAGTAATTAAATTCAACGATAATATCAAAGTTTTAGTACTAAGAGTTTAATTAAAAGCGAAGGCATTTCTAGCGCCATTGTTCCTAGATCCGGTGGTGTCAATCCGGAATTCTGGATCTTCTGCAGAGAATTCTCTGCGTTGTTGAAGGTCGGAAAAAGTGTCCGTCACAAACGGAGCGTGCAGAAATATTTTTAATGAAAGCACGTGGATTGCTCGCATCGGAGATCCAAAGAAAAGAGAAAAAGTATAAAAAAAAAGTAAAGAGAAAAAAAGGAAAGGTTCAATGGCTAAAAGGTGATCGGTGAGCGAGCGAAGAGCTCGGATTCCAGTCTGATTGGATTCAGTGTACACGCACGCACCTGCTCTTGCACCTGTCCTCTTCGGTCCCGTTAAGAATCGACTCTAAATAATATAAATGTCACGCGAAAATCTTTCGCTCGTTTCTCTCTTGAATCTCAATACAATTCTAAGATACACACACATAAATTACATTTTTTTTTCTTTGGCCTCTCTTAAACAAGATTCAACTTATTTATTTTCATCTTTGTTTTATATTGAATGGAATACTGATGTACACTTTTATAATGTACTTTCTTATTAACATTATTATTTTATATCAAAATTGTAAAGAAAAATTTTATACTTTACTAATAATAATTGTGTCTTATTTTATGAATTACTTTAATCAATGTTTGAAAATGTATTAATTTGTTTCATACTTTAAAAACAATTGGATTTTTTAAATAAATTTAGTAAATAGTTTTAACAATATAACTAAATATAACAATCAAGCAAGTTTCAATTTATTTATTTTTATCCATTCTTTGATATATATTGCATAGAATCTTTTATACTGTATTTTCATCTACTTTGTATATAGTGAATTACACGAATAGTGCGTGTAATCAACATCCCAGAATTTTTGAAACCGAACTAATCGAAGAACTAAATATAAACAAAAATAATTGTGTGTATAATTTGGTTAGAATTTATTTTGCTCAATTATAATTTAGTATTTCAATTTTCGCACAGGACTATAGTGTATTCGAACTGATTGAAGCCACACTATGTGAGGTATTTCTGTTCTACAAAAATTTGATTTGAAATTTAATGATTTTAAATAGATTTAGTAAGATTTAATTATTAGTCATAACTACATTTAGTCTTTCTACAACTATAGGAATGAATAGGTAATGTAATAGAAACAATTTGTGCGAGTAAATTCGATTTTGTACATTTTCTACTTTAAAGTTAAAGCAATGAGTGAACGATGTTTCTAATCGAATTTCCTTTCTCTTACAGGTCGAAGCCACGACAAATCGTTTACTTTGTTCCGTTTGGGGCAGCAGTCTTCAAACGGCGTTAAGGCCTTTGCGGAAACTGGTCGGTCAGATTTGCTCGAGGAGCAGAGCCAGGGAGAAGGCGGAATTTACGATGAGTTCAATGCGCCTCCAATTACAGCAGGTGTCGGCCGCACCGAAGCCGAATTCTTCGTAGATGGCAACCATTCCAGGGTAAGTAAATCCGAATCCTCCAACGAAAACATCGATTTCCAATATCATTTATACTTCAATCATGTTGGTTGGATTGTGGAAACTACAGTAGAGTGGACGCCTTTTCATTTTGATCCTGATGCCTGTTTCGTGCCTATAAATCGCGACCCCGGCTTGCTTTTCACTACACTTTGAATTATCGTCGGATTGGCACAATTTTCCACAATAGAAAAGCAATGATTATTGTTGTCGGTGGGCGATTTATTAAATAACAAAAGGGTGCAGGAAAATGGCGGACCATTAATCCAGACACCAGGAACGCAATTCATCACGGATTCCATCGAGATAAAACGTTTTTCACAAATAACGTTATATAAAAAAAACAATACTTACATGGATAGTCTAATTTGATTAATTACGCTGTGGCTTCTCTGCAGACACATTTTTAATATTCGTCAGGATAAGATTTTCATTATTTTTTTTATTAATAAATTCCACCTTTAAACAAGAAAATCTACGTACATGTACATCCCTAAATTAGGATCGCGAGGCTGAGGGATAGAATGGCTGGGATTCTTTAATATTCCAACCACAACATTCATTTATTTCAGCCGCCGCTGAAAACTTAAATTAAAGCCTCCTCTTTGAAGACGCTGCACGGATATACCGTTTTTATTTTTTTGTTGTTGTTGTTCAACTCTGGTTTTCGCAGTGTTTTCTTTATAAATTATGCATAAATGCGCTCTCTGAGTTTTTTTTTTCTTGTTTCGAAAATATAAATATTAATATATTACCTAATCTAATTATTTTACTTATAAAAATGTAAATTTTTAAGAAAAAAAACCTCTACAAATTATACATAAAAAAATAAATAAGAATGGAACATATTTATATACTTCTTGTTATATTCGTTAATTTTAATATAAACGTGCTTTGTTTAAGTAATTTATTTATATATAACAATAAATGTTACTTTACTAATAATTATATAAATGAATTAATAATGACTTTTCATTAGTACTTTATTTTTACAAAACATCATGAAATACACTTTAATTTATATTTAGTAAAAATATTTGATGTCATCTGGTGGTTAAAATTTTGAAAGGATCCAATTTAGATCAAGTTTAACAACTTAACAAAACTTATTGAAACAAACTTGATGCTACCATTAATTGGTACCAAAGACAAAAATAATGATGAAGTTTCATTTCATACTGGAAGGGCAGCAGAATTGCAACCCTTATACACAAGCCAGTATTTGATTTAAAAAATAATTCTTTGTGGATTTTTTTTATAATTTATAAAAAAAACTTCAATTACATTTTGAAACTACACGACTTCTTATATTGTCTTCAAGTGACAAAAATGTAGGATTTTTAGAGGATTAATTTTATAGCGAGTTTATCAAAATTTACTATTAATTGGTGACATATAGAAAAAATAAATACAGAAATAAAGTTATAATTTATACATTATTAAAAAAATAATTATTCATTGCAGTTTATTTATCTGATAGATTAGTAGGATCCTTTGAAAATACTTAAATAAGATTTTGTAAATTTAATGAAAATACTCGACGTCTTATAATGCCCAAAATATTGGACATTTGGCGGATCCATTTCAGAGCGACTTCAGCGAACTTTCCTAAAACTCTTTACAAAACTTTTCGAAACGAGCTCGATGTTACGGTTAATTGGCGCCATATTCAAATATTACGAAACTCCTTTATAGGAGGGGAATCACTTGCGAGAGTAAGAAATATTTATGTTGATATGCAACATATTCTCCGTAGAATGTCTGCAATTTTATTTAATCACTTTATTTTTAATTGAAAAGAACATATTGTTACTTTTTATTACATCATTCAATAAAAATATAGTTAAGAATAGCAAATAATTACATATTGAGTCACATTAATTTGAGTCTTTAAAATCCAATTGAAATATTCAAAATTATATAATTATTTATTTATTTATTTTATTTACATTTTTTAATGGACCTTTTAATAAAATGTTACATAATTTAACTAATTTTGATGGAAATCTTGTTATTAATATAGTTGAAGACACTAGTGCAATAAACTTTTGTAATATGAAATTAAATTGCATTTGACTTATTACACGTTACGCAAGTTGCCTAGCAATAAATGTACATACAACGAAGATATTAAATGTATTACTACCTGTTTGAACTTGTGTACTAAGTTGTAACTTTACGCTGCAATTAATAATTTTCTGTTATGTCTTTTCTTAATGGGACCTCATTAAACTGAAACTTTGTTTTGTAATAACATAAAACTTCAGAAACTTCCTGAACAAATCATTTGTGTAAGTTCTGTCCTAAGCTATTAATATTCTAATAAAGAATCATATATGAACATGTAAAATTAATTGTAATAAAACTAATAATAATTGTAAGAGGAATAAAGATGCATGCATTGACAATTTGTGTGAAATTATTTTATAAAAATTTTACAGAAATTGAATAAAATAATATTTTGTTTAGTCCGGGCAATTGTTGAAGCCGGACTAATTGAGGAATAGGATATGAAGTGGTCAAAAAAACTTGACTGATTAAAGCTTGTCCACTGATTTTTTAAGATTTATTTTAATTTTCTTCAATAAAAACTAAATTTGTTTTGACTATTATATTAAATCCGGACTGATCGAAATCATTTATTAAAATTGTACAGAAATTGAATAAAATAATATTTCCTTTAGTCCGGCCAATTATTGAAACCGGACTAATTGAGAAATAAAATATAAAGTGTACAAAAAAAAACTTGACTGATTAAAGCTTGTCCACTGATGTTTTCACTATTATAGTAAATCCGGACTGATCGAAATCAGACTATCGTGTTGTAACAAATTGATCGTAGTTATGTTTGACATTATGATATATTCTGCCATTTTATTCAAAGTTTATGTTGGTACTCTTGTAGTATGTTGACATTAATGTCACTTTTCACGTATTGTGTGTAGTCACCATTAGATTTAATAATGTCGTTTATGGTAGTGTTGTTTGTAAAAAAAAATAATGAACACATAAAGTATTTTCTGGGTAATCCACGTAATATTTAGGATGTAAAAGTATAAAAACTTTATTTTAGCACTTAAAAAGAAATTGAGTGTCTCGAAATGGGTATTTCCAACTTACCGCCTTCGAAGATATCTGAAGTTTATCGAATCGCAAAGCGATTGGGCAATTAATTGTTATTCTCACCCGTAATAATTTGCCGGGGTAGGAAAGTATTTCTTGTCTGCGATTTAAATGAATTTTGAGATTACGGCGACGGTGGGGAAGGGTAGCCAGGACTCTGAAAAGGAATTTAAAACAAGTTTTATGGCGCGAACGAGAGCGCCGTAAAATCTAAATGGGAAAGTGTGTGCAGGATTGCGCGAATGGGTTCTGGTGAAGAAGATGAGAGGACGAAGGGACGAGGTGGGGTGTTAAAGGGGGTCTTCGAAAAAAAAAAGAAGAGGGAAACAAAAGGATTCGAAGCGGAACGGGTTCCGCATGAAAATTGCTTTGTAATTATTAGCCCAGACCCTTTTTTCTCTCTCTCACACACTTCTTTTTTTTTTGTTCTTTCTAGCTTACTCCTCTTTGCGCGTCCTCCATTTTAGGTTATCTCTGCAACTGGAAGGACTTCGGAACTTTTTTCATTTACTCTTCTTATTCTTCTTCGACTCTTTTAACGATGATTGACGTAATGAATTTGTTTTGTAGTGTGCAGTGTTTCCGAAAGAAATTACACTCTTCGATGCGTACCAAAATAGTCATAAAGTCTACAATCTTTTGATTAAATGCTTTATCAGATTGTGATCCTTCTCAACAATTTACTAACATCACTTTTCTTTCTATTACTTTTTGTTACAATACATTTATTATTAAATAATAATTACATATAAAGAAATAATCATAAAATTACTTAATTAGATCAATTAACAAAATGGTTGATAAGATTGATATAATTACATTAATCTTCACTGAAAAGTACGCTATTTTATATTTTACGTCAAATTATTTATAATATCACAACTATTATAATTATTTATATATTACTCATTAATTGTATTATTATACAGAAATACCTCGCATACTGCGGTTTTGATCAGTCCGGATTCGCTATAGTCCGGTTTGAACATTTTAAAACAAACAAAATTTTAATTGAGCAAAATAAAAATAAATTTTACAAATTATTTTTTATACATAAATGACCGCTTCTTGATCCGGTTTCAAACAGTCCGGGATTTTGAAATACTATACATGCTATATTTATATAAATTCTTCAATTGTTTACACAATATTTTAAATAACTTTACAGTTTAATTATAAAAATAATGTCAATATTTATTTCTACATTTGTATATTTTCATCGGACAAATATGCATGAAATTAAAAATACATCAACAATTGATAAGTATTCCCGTTCTTTTTTTCAACATTCATCTGTTACCATGACTACCAAATTGATGTATTTCACAACAAACATTAACTAAAGTTCAGCTACCTATTGTTACGAAACAGATTATAACATATTATTTTATGCGATTATTTTTTTCGAAATATATTAGAATTTTAATTACAAATTAGAACATTCTGTGCTTATATAAATATTATTTAGCTTGAAGGATCATGTGCTAAGTGCTTAATTTTAGTAATTATAAATTGAATATTTCTATGTTGGTAATATGTTATAAAATAAAGTAGTGTAAACAAAGTTTGATGAAAATAATTAATTTGGATGCTTATAATGAAACGAAAAGGGAACATCCGACAAATTGCGATATATTGGTATAGTCGAATGTTTATAGGACGTAAACTAATTTCTATGCGAAAGGGATCCGGGAAGATTCGATTTAATTGGAAATTCTGTGTGCGAACAGAATTACAACATATTGTTCTGGATTGGATGGAAGCCTTGATTTTAGCGTTCATGTAATAGCATAGCTTTGAGCTTATTAGCACAAATCGAACGTAGATTTTCGCGAATGCATATTTCACTTAGTCCGCGCAACAGACATCATAAACAGTCTGGAATTTATATAAACAATACTTGGTTAATATCGGTGTATATAGGATGGCACGTATCCTTGTATACAGATTTTGGGCCGAGATTGAATCAATGGTCGTCCTTAATTGGGCACGTTGTTCGCTCCATTCAGTTTCCGTTAACATAACTACATCAAATGTTTGTGAGGACAGTCCAAAGGCATTCGGATGAATGGACAGGCATATACGTACGCATAGTAGACACTCTCACGCACACTAGGGCCATTGTCCTGGACGGTAATGAGAGATCGATGTCTGATGTCTCAGCATCTGCACACAGGGCACGTGTCCTGTCACTCACTAGCCGCTCACAGAAGAGATGAGAACCCACCCCTCGTTCTCAAAGACCACGCAGATCTCAGACACCGAAGACTTTCAAGAAGTTGTAAACGAAACCCCGTAAATCATTCGCAGCCTACGTGAGCCAGTCCACCTGATATAAATACAGAACATAAACCAGAAGAAGGAAAAGAATAAAGAAGAAAAAAGCAACAACACCAGCAGGCTCAGGAACAAGAGACGAAAAGGCCATAATCCTGTCTTGCCTCCCCGAATTGATTATATTCCCATTATATCCCTTTTTTTTTTGTTCCATCTAAATTTATATATACACACTCTATATTTTTTTTTAATACTCCCTTGATGCACACACACACACACCTCACACACGAACAGAGCAAATGCGATTTTGAATTCGGGCCTCGGGATATTATAATTTACATGGAATTTATAAGCGGGTCCCGAGTAACCGGGGGGAAATTGATACGCTCCGTTAGGATTTTAATCCCCTGCAGGTTCTACCCCCGATCATCCGCGTAATCCTGGGTGGCGCGACACGCAAAAATCGCTTCCCTAAATCAGTACGCAATTAAAAGACACACAACGGACTCGAATCAAAATTGCAATCAACTTCAGGACAAGTAATTATTATTGGGTTTCTACCTACAAATAAAAATAAACGCAGACAAATAAATCGTTGTTTGTGTTGTCTGGATGTCATCAATTCTTACTATTAAGGATCCAACTTACTAATGTGATTGCTGTTTGTGCTATTGTCATCTGTATTCTTTTTTTTTGTAACTATTAAGGATTCAACGTAGTAAGGCAATACAATGAAAAACATGCTGAAAGGATAAAGCACAAAACATTTTTGTATTAGATCCATATGAATAACATGAGATAAAAAAATCAGTATATACAATTGTTATATCATCAATAAAACTGATTGGATTGAAACTATCTTATGTAGTTATTATTAAAAATAGTAGACAAACTATCTTCTGTACTATCTTTTTGTGACATCAATTAGCCTCCTCTGAAAAAGCACAAATTTACAAAAGTCATAAAAGAAGCGTTACCATTTTGTTTTACTGTATTTTTTTGTCCAATTATTTTGTGTCAGTTTCTATGATATACTCGTATTTTGTGGATTATCTACTTTTATGAAACAAACTTTTGAAAACTGATTATTATGTTAGAAGTTAAGTATATTAATTTTCTTAATTAATGGTGTTAAAAAGTGGTGAGATCAAATAGTCTTCTCCAACCTAAGCACACAAATTTATATAACATGTACAGCTTATATAATTATAATAATAATAATAATATTTTTGGACAATTTGTTAATGCAAAATACAGTTCAAAGTTTTCAAAGTATACAAATAGTAATTGAAAAAAAGCACATTGTATGGTATATATAAATGAGGTGCAAAATATTTGAATATTTGGATTAATAATCTATACTTCGTTTTGTTGCTGTAGATAATAACATTGACTAATATATATCAAATATTTCAATTGGTGAAGTAATCTAAAAATCAATGGAAACAAAATCTGTTGTATAAGTATGAAGTATGTGTATATAGGATAACTAACATACTTTTCTTTCTTGTTTAGGTGTCTCTGATATCAAGGATAGTACCATCACCAGATTGGTTTATCGGCATCGATAGTTTCGACCTATGCGTGAACGGCAATTGGCTGGATAGCATCACCATCGAGGTAAAATAATAATAACCATACGAGTGATGAATGTGCAGCAATAAAATGCATGTTTCCATATGTATATGTGACCGTGGTGTGTGGAATTTGTTTATTTAGGTGGATCCGATCGACGCAGGCACCGATAACGGCTTCACGTTCACCGCCCCCAACTGGCCGACGGATCCCCAGGGGGTGGCGTATCGAATCACATCCCGTTACCCGGCCCACCCCGCCGGCTCCTTTTTCTACCCAAACATGAAACGCTTACCAGCCATCGGCACTTTCCAATTTATCAAGGTAGTATTACATGAAAAATTTGAGCATCCCCCAAAATTAATCGCAACCCTTATTATCTTCTCCCTTCTGAAAAAATAAACTCTAATTAGGTAAAGGAATACGAACTGAGCGAGGTTTTCCACCACACCGAAGACGACCAGCATTACGAGGTTCTCAAAATGGAACACATGACCCAGAACAGTATAAGCGCTTTCAACGGGAACGGGGACATCGAGGCTGCCATCGAAGAAGAGCGCAAGGAGCAGGAAATCCACCAGAGGCAGAGGATCCGACCGAAATTCCAATCGTTCTACGCTTCCTCACAGGCGACGACGGTGCCATCCGCAACGACAACGGAGAATCGACTTTTGAACACGATGCAAGTCGCCTTTTATATACCATATTTTTCTTTTTCATCTCCCACGATTGATTCACTCTTTGATGCCCTCCGCTTTGATGTAGCCAATGCAAAAATCGTCATTGAGTTCTTGATCTCCGGCATCCAAATACCCCTCAAGCGGTTTTTGTTTGAAATAATAAAATGTGTGTGTGTGTGTTTTTTTTTATACAGTAATCAAAGGGATGAAGCTCTCGGCATTACTGCAGCTGGAGTACCAGCCGTGGTACCGCGCGGCGACAAGGACGCCATCATGAATAGCATCGTGGATTCCTATAGGAATCATTCCAAGGATCAGCACCGCAAGAAGTATCGTAAACCCAAGAAGAATAAACGTAAGTGCTTTCAGCGGTCCCCGGCCACTAAACCCCTACATAACATCTGCATCCCATCCCCTGCGGCGCACCCGTTATTATGAGTTGTATCACTTGAATCCCTCTTAATACATATATACAAAAAAAAAATATATAAAATATATTCAACTTTTTTTTTTTTCCAACAATAAAACAAAGATATTTTTCATTTCCTTATACTCATTGTCCATTTGAATAATTAGAATAATTTATCTTTTACGACATACTTTTATACTTTTAGTATCAAATAATTATTAATTATACTAGTGACGAAGCAAATAACATTTTTTTTTAATTATCGTTACTTAAGGCAAAAAAATTCCCCAGGTTCCAACGTTCAAATTTGATGGGGCCCTCAAATAAAAATTTGCGTGGTGCCCACACATTCAGTCAAAAAGCCCATTAGTATTGCTCACACACTGGCCCATACAATTCTTGTTACGCCACTGATAATAACTACACTAAACAAGAAAATCTATACCAATTTGACAATGACAACCGCTAGTGTATAAGTACCTAAATTATTGTGAAAATAAACATATACTTTTCTGACTTATAAATATAGTCAAATAAAGTGAAATATTTGTAGTTGAAGACATTATGTTAGAATATATAAGTTACGTAATAATGTTGTAGTAATATCCTTAACATTTTTATTCGAAAGCTTCGGTACAATTTAAAGTGATTTTGTTCACAGGCCCTCCTCGGGATTGCCGTGTCAGCGAATGGTCCAACTGGAGCCCATGCAGCAAGTCCTGCGGCATCGGAGAAATGCAGCGTCGCAGGGATGTCCTGAAATACGCAAGGCGCGGTGGACGCTTATGTCCCCCATTGCTAGAAACCAAATGGTGCGGTTCGGCCAGAGCATGCAATAAGGGCTATTTCAACTGGTAAAACAAAGAGAAAATAATCCGCGAAAAAACAACCTGCAACAACAACTTTATACATATACATAAAAAAAAGAACTTTCAACTTAAACACACACACTGTATATAATGAATATATTAATAAGGATATACGAGGATGGTGGAGGTGGTGGCGGGCTATGCTAAAACGTTGGGACGTCGTAAAGTAAGCAAAAACCAAACAACCACCCCCCATCCCTCAACCCCTAAAACCTGCAAAGTGCATTTCGCCATAACGCAAACACCAAACGGCGCAAATGATTCAAAGCCCTCACTACTTTCTTACCATCACGGAATTCTTCAGGTTTAATCCGCGTCACGCTCAGGTCGTAAAACCTAAGGGAAAAAAATTGCATATATACATACATATAAATATATGTATTCCAATTACTTTCAACTTAAAGACAATCCTAAGAACATTCTTAATGGCCCACTCCATATCACAACAACGTCGAGGAGAAACGAATCCTTTATTTTTCTGTGTTCTTGCGCAATCTGCAGTGTGTGTATCTTTTCCATCATCGTTATTTTAGAACGAACTAAATTTAGTTTAACCCAATCAGATCCGATGAACCGAGCAACACTAGTTAACGTTCATAGGCGGAATGGCATCAGGATATATAAACAAAAATTGATAAAATATACTTAACCTAACCTTCGTCCAAATTGGAAGTCAAGCGAGATTTTTTGAATGAAAACCAAAAAAAAAGTAAAAATATTTATAAAACACGAAAAGTTTAAAATAAATAAAATACCTGTAAACGTCCTCTTCAAGTATTATTTTGTTCCAAGCGAAGAAGAAGAAAATGTAAATGTGTTTTTTTTTGGTTGGTTAATTAAATATGATACACTTTGATTTGTACAAAGCTGTAGCGATTAATTAGAATTATACTTAAGTGTGATATAAACAAGAATAATAGTAATTAATAACTCCTTGTTTATTAACGTCAGTGTACTAAAAATAATTAAGAAGAAGGCGTTTCGGTGTCGTCCTCGGATGATGCTGATGTTGTCCCTTCAATTAACTTCATCATTTGTTTAAAAAAAATATATATATAATTTTTGTGGAAAATAATAATTTTCGACGGAGAAACCTTTTGTAAATATAATCTTAGGTACAAAATAAGGAAGGTGTTTTAGTAACAAACAAAAAAAACTAATTAATATTGAAAATATTATATATATATGATACTGAAAAAAGAAGAAAGTCAATGAAATTTTTATCGACTATTTGTATGAACATATAAAAACATAAGTATATTGTGAAAAGTGTTTTATTACTTAATAAAATACGAATGGACAAAAAAAACATAACACGTCAATATCATCCTTGCTCATCGTTATTCTTATTATTTATGGAAACTGAGTTTTTAATTTTCATTTCGTAACGAAAACAAAACAAAAATATGAATGTTCGACAAAAATAAACGTACTTAGTTGTATCAATATTTGTATAATTGTACTAATACTGTTCTTTTTTTAGTAATTACTTTGTCATGCTCATAATGTAATCAATACAATAAACGTTATATTTACTTAAAAAAAACTGTGTAGCAATGCAAGAGTTTTATTTCCATATTTAAAAAAAAAACCTGCACGACAATTTAGAATGTAAATTGCGTCCAATTAAGGTAAGTACAGTACAATTACATTAATTTAAATCCTGAATATTATTCTCGTCGCTCTGCCGTTTCCTGAATCCCTCTTGTGCATCTTTAAAGGTAAATTATATATTATTTTTTTTAATTGCTTTATGTAAATATATTTTTTTAATTTCCTTTATGCATGGTGGATCCTTGTTGCATAACCATAAGGGATTCTTTTACGATCAATACGTTCCAATTATTTTTTTATACGAGGGAAATTCGTGAAGTGACAACTTATTTTACATAAACTCAATGTCTCGGTGACGTCACTGGTGACCCATTTACGGTATCGAATCTATGCAATATCGCACTGTGATCTCATTGAATCTGATTAAAGGCGATAGATGTATATGCCAGAGTAAATGCATTAATACAACAGTCAATGTGTACATAAACTAGTTTGTAAATTGCAGTTTGATGAGTAAATACATTCCAATTAAATTTAAACTATAATTATCAGAAACATACATTTTAATAACAATTAATCAACTATACAAAATACATCATTTATTTAAATATTTACTATCAACCACTAAATGCAATTATTTTAATAGTAATAAACTTAAGGCATGCTTACTAAGTATTGTTAGCAGTAAATACAGTCGATTCGGGACAAATCCATGTCCATTCGTTATTTGCTCGGTTTTGTTTCCGTTCTCTAGGATAAGCGATGTCCCAATTAAGCGGAATCAACTGTATTTGTTGTTCAGATGATCTCGCTTCGATAATCCGCCGTACATCATTAAAATCAAGTCAATCAATAATCCATTATTAACATTATTGGATGGAAGCTTCTATCAAGAACATGTAAATATTATGCAAATTACGTCAAATATAGTATTCTGATGTACCAACAACATATAAATTTATTATGAACACTTCCACTTTCAACTATTTCCATTACCGAATTAATATTTGAGTGTTTCCCGAAATGTTAAAATTGAATTGAAAACTTGTACTTTTTTTTGTGTCTTGATTTCGTTTATAATTTACTATCCTGCAAAGAGGAGGAGCGTCATATTGATCCGGCCTGTAAATAACATGTAAAATTTCTATCTCTCGATTTAATTGTAACGCGAAGGCCGCAAAAAAATCGATCGGTGTAAATACCACAAACTATTTGCACACATCCGTCGAGTAATTTATGTGACGACTATTATGTAACTTTTATCTCGCTGAATGGCCCGACGTCCATATATTAAACACGGGGAAACGCATTATAATTGGTCGACGTTCATTAGGTGGAAAATTTTATTCGAGAAAAAAAAAACAACAAAATTGGTTGCTTCCTACTAATTATGATATTTTATGAGAGCATTTTGAATATTAGATTTATGAATGCATGCATTATTAATTGGCTTTTAGCGAACCAAATTATTTAGCAAATGTATTCATTTGCTTATATATTAGTTCAATTTTGTAACAACAGATGGCGTACTAATAATTTTGTCATAGTTAATTATTTGGATGGGTGATCTATATCAATTGACAATATATTTATTGATATTTAGAGAGTACAATTGATTATGTTCAAATATTAAAGGCATGTCAATAAATTTTAATTAAATTCTCTAATTTTCTTTTATATATAAAAATTAAATTATTACAAGGAAATATTGAAATATTCTTAGGTTATTCCTCCCAACAAAATATTTGGATTTAAATGTCACTGAAATATAGTGAGAGTCAAATTGTTATACTTAGACATTTTCAAATCTATCTATAATACATATTTATATACTTGGAATGATTGAGTTGTTTTTTTTAAGGAAATGTGGATGGTTTTGGGATTTAGGAAGGATATTAAATCACAGTTAGGGTCGAAGGATGGTGTTAGAAATAATGGTTTCATGCATTTTATATGTACGACTATGAGAAAAGTAGGTCAGTATATTAAAACATACAAATTTTAGGATTTCGGTTTAAAAGTGAAATTTTTGCATGAAAACTTTTATTATGTTTTTATTTGTAAATTACCTAAATATTATTTTTAACATCTATATGAATAGTACATACTGAAATTATTATATACAGATTTAAAGTCTATATATATTTCCAATTTTCAATAATAACCTCTAATTTCTTGTAGAAACTTACAAGCAGAAATTGATGAGTTGGTTACGCAGACATAAATCTAATATTATACACATACTATGTCAAGTGTACCAACTATTATAAACAACACAACTTAATGCTTTTTAGTCATTATTTTGTAAGGATAAAAGTAAAAATGTAATATATTTTTTTCCATTATGACAACTTATGAAACATACTATATCTATTGATAATAGGTACACACTTCTAACAACTTCTTCAATATTCATAAAAAGGTGCGTTTTTCATTAACTAAGTAAAAAAGTGGGCTTGCAGAAATGTAAATGCAAAAATTCCTGAATTATGTATGTATATTAAGGATGTTACATGTATCCTCTTGATTTTGTCACGGAGACATAAACCTAATGTAGTATCCACAGTGGGACATGCAACATACATATCTGTCAAGCATACCAACTACTAAAAATTATACTTAGTCTTTTTAGTCATTGGTTATGATAAGGATAAATTTTTAACATCTTTTATATAATTATATATAACCTATATATACATACAATATTTAGTATATGAAGAGATGCGGTGGCAATCGCAAGCCCGACAACCGAAATCAAAATCCCGACGTTCGAAATCCCGACTCGAGATTTTGATACAGTCGGGATTTTGAACGTCGGAATTTCGATATAGACTGGAATAGATGTACGTTTCGAAATATTTGTTCTTTAATTAAAAGTGGTGTTTTTCATTAACTCAGTAAAACAATGAGGATGCAGAAATATACGTACAGAAATACATGAGCTATGTATGTAAATTAAGGATGTTACATAAATCCTATTGATTTAGTTACGGAGACATAAATCTAATGTTGCATCCACACAACATACACACCTGTCCGACGTATCGACTACTATAAACTACACAATTCAGTGTCTTTTTAGTTATTGGTTATTGTAATGATGTAAGTGAAAATTATTCTGTAGTTATATTTTGACAGCGTGATATTTCAGAACTAATTATGATGTTAATAATATATTTATGTATTCCTTTGTTTAAATTTTAAATAAGTCCAGTGTGTTGTGTTTTCCATTAATAAAGTGAAAAAAAAATGAACGTTGGAAATATACATGCAGAAATAGATGAGCTTTGCAAGTATCTCAAGGATAATTCGTGAACGCCATTTGAGTTGGTCGCGGAGACATATATCTAAGGGGTGGGTTTATCGTCGTATAAAGTAAGTTTGATACATGTCCCTGCACTTAGCAGCCCGCAGGACATTACACTGCCATAACGTCGCCCAGCCCACATATGTCACGCGTATATGTGTCCGTGTTACATAAAGCACCCGTATAATTCGCCACCCCCACCCCTTCGCACGATGCACATCTATTCCGCCCACGAATATATATACACACACACATACAGCCAACTACGATTAATTACCCTACAAGGGTGACAAAATCTCCCATTTTCATCGTTATATCATCCCCTTCGTTTTTCCATTATTTTGTTTTTTTTTTCATTTTCCTCCGCTATTATTAACGCTGAGTACAGCGTGCATGCACACACAAACAAAGAATATGTAAAACATTTTCATAGAATACTTTGTTCATCATGCTCATTAGTTAAGTCTTTTATCTTTACAATCTCCCTTGTTGTTTATATTTTTGCAGTTTTAGTACTAAATTACAGTCCTTATTAACTTCATTTATTTACATTTTAGTAAATACGAAATTGGAACAAAGTTTTTTTTTTAAATTTCCATTTTTCACAAAAATATTTTTGGTGTAAAAAATATTACGCATAATATTACAATAATGTTATTATTTACTACAACAACATTTGCTCAAAATAACACAATATACAAAGTCGGATATATTTTTATTCCATGCAGCATGGGATTCATCTATATAAACTCGGGAAACGTACAATGAATATTCATAACTTCAATGTTAATCATGTTAAAACGCCAAAAAAAACGTTGCCCCCCATCAGTGGACATAACATTTTTTGCATTCCTGCATTCCGAAAAATTCACAAAAAAATATTTATTT